ACCTTCATCTATACTTGAAAAATAGTAACAAAATTTTCTGGACTTCAAAGTCTTTAGAAGGCAACTTGGTTTTACTTTCTTCGTTGTCCATTTCACGCACTACAATGGGCACAGTTCACTTAAATTAAAAGCATTATCATAATATGTACAAATTTTAATATAAATACGTTATTGTGTTATTAAAACAAGACATAACTTTCAGTTCTCATTGCCCTTTATATTATTTTCCTGAATAAAATGATGATGAATGATTTTCTACTAAACAATATTTCAACTTATGTGTAAACTTTGGGAACTCGGTTAGATGTTTAATTTCTTTTGGTTATTTATTATATATTTTAATTACCATGAGATATTATTAGTGTTTAACATTATTATAAGATATGATCAATTTATTTTATTTTCATGGCCTATGATGGCAAAGATACACAGCATAGGCAGTGTATCTTTGATTTTTGAAAAAATGACTATTTTTTAGAAACAAAAAGACAGAAATCTTTTATCTATAAGCATGTTTTAAGTTTCTTTAAATAAGGTGTACAGCTGGTACATTTATTTATTTAGGCAAGGACCATATATATATTTTCTTTTTTTATGTGAAAAATTGCAAAACGAGCAGACGGTTCACCTGATTTTGACGGTTCACCTGAAGTGAATACCGCCGCCCATGAACATCTGCTACACCCGAGGGTTTGCAGATGCGTTGACAACCTTTTTGGAAATTGGGCTCCGGCTACCTCACTTACCAAACGTAACGCGAAAGTATTCGTCATACTTCCACTTTACGCCGGTCTTCTCACAGAAGACAGTCGTGGTACTTACCCGGACGAGCCTGCCCATTCCTGCAACAGCCGAGGCTGCAGCGTGGCCCTACCACAGTTAAATCCATATGCACTTTTCTTTGATTATAAGTAGGTCGTGAGTGTCAACACTGTTGCCCTTATATTACACAGTACAAGGCGGTGGAAGTATCTGCAGCTTATTTGATTTAGAAGAGAGCATAAGTGAATTTGTATAATTTAGTTTTTAAATAATCCATCAACTATGATATATGTTTTCTAGTCTATATTTGAATCGATATTTAAACCCAAGTCATTGACAAGCAGAGGAAATGGGGTAGGAGTGAAAATACAATCTCAAGGGACATCAGCATTAAATGGTTTACATTCAAATTTTGCACCATCAACGATTTAACTTTGACGCTTTAATCCACTTAATGCACTAAACTGCCTCCACCATTCCCCAGACCATTCATGATCCAGCTATCAAAAATATTTCAGGCAGATTCTACTGTCTTCTTAACAAGCTATTTAGAGTGATAGGCATGATTTTAACATATACTAGAATTTACTTTTTGCCGGATTAACTGCACTAAAACTGTCTTATTACATTTCAAACCTATAATTAACCGGTAATTTCGCTGAAAAACAGACGACAATACTAACGCTATCTCTTGAAAAAGAAGAGCGCTTCACGCACTTTTTTAATTTACAGGAATTCCAATATAGCCATTTAAATAAAACATTAAAAAGTACCCAATCGTTTTAATGTTTTTATCAATTTTAATTATTACAGGTTTTTATCAGAAAGAATCATGTGTATTTTCAAATATTGATATTCGCTAATGACTACCTACAGATACTTGCTATTGATCTGTTTAACCTCAATGCCACAAATGTTTATCTTATCACTTAACGCGTAACCGTTACTTTACGTGTTAAAACACGTCAAACTCTGTCATTTTCAATCAACTCAATACTTGGAATTCTTGGGCGATTAACGTTCATTCCTGAAGCAGATATTGCATATATCAAAGCAAGTTTTTCTATAATCAAAAGTAAAATAAAAATGTTCATAACAACACTTACGTCTTATGACCCTGATGGAGGACTATCTCTTTAAATTGCGCTATTTTTCTATTTAACAAAGCTTTGGCGGTTATAATTTATCAAGTTAAAGGTATATTGCTTTAAATATATAATTTGTAAGAAATTATAAAACATATAAATTTTAATCAATTCAACTTTATTTGGGATCTTATATTATGATAGAAATTTTATGAAAATTTCCTTAATATCTATTTAACGTCACATTTTATAGAAGAAAAGCTAAGATGATTATACAACTAGTTGCTATAACTATACTTATATAACTATGAGTTGTTTGCGCTCTATTTAAGGAACATATAGTATTTGCCCAAATATTACTTAGTCACGACCACTAATGCAGTTACATATTTCTTTCTAATTACAAGGTTGGTTTTAGTAACTTTAACATTATATTACTTTCTTCGTAATGTATAATTGTTAGCATAAGTATCATTTAATATAGTTTCCAATGTTTTAGTGCCAATTGCAATGCTGTTGTTAGCCGTGATGTCATAAATGCAGATGGTTAAGAATTTGTATATTGTTACTCTTACTGCGAATGAACACGATGACTACACGTTCTGCCTGTGAAGGTATATGTAAAAATTGTGTTTAGTGGCTATTTTATTTCATTAGACGCTTTGCTGGTAAAATGTACCAAATATTTAAAAAATGTCACTGATTAAAACGAATAGCAACTTTGTACTCAAATACACACCAGCGTGTAGTAGAAGAAAGTTAGAAATCAATTTGAATTTCATTCCTATCTCCTTTAGCTCTGTTTATTCCTTCTCTAATTTACTTCAGGTATTTTTAACGTCGGTACCACAAACAAGTCTTACAGGCGTTAAAATGAATCTTTGTGTTAAATCTCACCATCTAATTATGTATCAAATACAAATTCAAAAATTTCTTATATGCATTAATTCATAAATTTTCTTATTGACCAAATAGCAGAATAAAATAGTGCCAGAATAAAGGTAGCAAATATGAAGTAGCAGTTACAACAATTTTAAACTGTATTTGCCTTAACACCAATGCTCGGAAGCTTAGTATTCATAGTTGGCCATATACATATATAGGTAAAGCAAAAAGGAACAATATCTCAAGTCATTCCAAACCAGCATTGTCACACGATACAGAACAACCAGGTAAATTGAGCTTATGAAACTATCTTTGAAAAACCCGTGGAAGATTACGGAGTTTGCTGAGAAGCGTCCGATTCATTCTTCTCCGAATTTATGGAAGAATTGAGATGAAAAACATTAATATGGCGTTCAATCGTCCTTATTTCAACACCTCCATAGTAAAAATATGTTGCAAGAAAAAAACTTGATAACGATAAATAAATCTATGGAGATGATTTTTTGTATGTATGTATAGTTTCCGTATTTATTTCGTAATTTAAATGTATGCGCAATAAAATAATTTAGGATGAAAAAAACCGTATGTCATAATAATTATGTCTTAGCACCAGATCAAACTAGTAAAGCCAGAGCAGTATGTCATCTATACTACATCCAAAACGATTAAAAGGACTATTTAGGTTGTTTCTTTCAAATATTGATTCTGTCATGGCAAATAATTGTGTAAAAAATAATGCAAAAGGATTTATTAAAGTTTACTTACGTGGTGTACTATGCCCTTATACTCTGTCCACTTACCTACTTTACTTTACTACTTACATAATTATGTAAATTAGCTTACAAATTATTTTGTAATTGTAAACAGATCCAAGAGTAATGTTATTGTGTTTTTTATATATTTAAGTTTGTGTCTTCAGGAAAACATTATCTCCTGTCTCAGACGCGGCAAAATAGATAATATGGGAGATACTCTTATCTTTTTCGTGAAGACAGAGATTGCTTGAAATTGTTGTCTTTATTTCTGTTTCTTGAATATCATTACGTTCAGTACAATTAAGTATACAGGACCATAATGGCGTCTGATTTCTTCATATTTATTTAGTTTTTTGTGTTATATAACTTAATCCTATTTAAAAAACACGCTTTAATCTTGAAAGAGATCGACAACTGATATAATTGAATGGATTTAGAAATATACATAAACGTATGTACAGTATACCAACTATAGACACGAAAAGTCTCAAAATAAAGTAAGATTACTTTTCTGTCATGTTACTTTTACTAATAGTGGCAAAGAACAATATTTCTATGTAGTATTAATGGGCCGCAGATTTTGTTTCATTGCCAACCTTTTCCCTTATTTTATAATCATCCATTTATGCTGTTTGTGTTTCGTATACCTCGGGGCGTTTTTGGGAAAGTGAAAACCTGTTCGTTCCTGTTAAAGTATTAAACGTATATATTTATTTATCAGACCTCTGTCAATGGCATTGTTGGATGCGGACTGTAGTGCCCATATGTCCACACTGCACATGTGCTTTGCAGGCTTTCACCGAATGTGGTAGGTCAGCGGACTAGGAAGCGATGTGACGTTTTACGTCTTATCAATGCTAGGTTTTCTTTTCACTCGACGATCCCAGACTCGTGACCTATTGTGTTGTGGATGCGGTACTTCTGGGTATACATCGGTTTTTTCCACCTTCTAGAGTCCTCATTAGAGGCAAACCCAGACTTGGTAGAGTGTTAACAGGAGTGTTATTGAAGGAATAATTTAGATAGTTGTGGTAGTATCTAGTGATGTATAAACGGTTCACCTATTTTCGGGAACTAATGCACTCGGCTATCTCTGTACAGTAGAGCTGAGTCGTTTTCCCACGCTGCAAAAGAGAAAGCTGACCTTTTGTGATCTCTTATATGCCTAACATGTTACAGCATGATAAAGATAATGCGCCACGGACTGTGGCGCAGAGAGAGCATGTAATACCAGAAAATAGGTTTCTGCAGTTTTCAGTGCATTCTCCTTAGGCTTTTGCAAATCAGGGGCCTCAAAGAATATTTTATTCGTACTTCTTGTAGGTCTAGGAAATTAGCTTTATTGTGGAATGAAATTTTCTTACTACAGTTGTGAGCGAAGCAATTTCACTTTATAGAGTGAAGTATAATTTTTTAGAATATTATTGAACATAACATTATTCTTCAGCTCGAGTATTTCTCGGATTGGGTTGCTCGTGGTATCGAAATACCGACAGGCTCCATCTGATTGTTAGAACTGCCTCTTCTGAACCTCGCTCGTACTGCTATGCAGGAAGGCGCGCTTCATTTTCCAGCGCCCATTTAGCGACAGTGAGTCGCATCTCGAGAAGAAGCCGCTGAGGTAGCAAGCGAAAGCATGTTCCCTACAGATAGACAACACTTTTAATCGTCGCGAGTCCGACATACATGTTCTTGCCTCCCACAGGAGCTGATATGTAGGCATTTCTTCCACGTAAATAAAAAGGGTTGTTCGAGTACTTTCAAATTAAAAATGAGCTTCACTTTGCATATTAATTAGAATGTGCAAATTTTACCATACAGCGAATGGGAAAATATTTATGTACGCTCATAATTATTTTTTTAAACACAATGGAAATACAAGTCTCATCAGAGCATAGAATATGTCATGCGTAATTCATAATTATTAATGACTTGCTCTCTAAACTCCACTTCGTTTGGGTGGGGTGTATTTTGTTATGAAATGGAAGATCCATGTCTCAATATAAATATTTAATGCCTCCGTAAGTCAAAATTAACAATTGTGATAAGCATGACAAACATCAATATGTTTACCAGCTTTTTTAACATGTTTTATTTATTAGCTCGCTTTCAAGTATGCCCGTGTAGGTGGAATTTTAAACTACTCTACTGACTGAGCAGGATACTTGAAATTTGGACTAAAGCTCAAAAGTCGATGACAATACATGAGAATGTAAAAAAAAGAGGAATAAGAATGAAATAAAAAAATGAAGGGACCATGTTTTTTTAACGGACTTAAAAGTATAAACCCATAAAAGTATAAATTTAAAAACGTGGTACTTTATTTTATTTCTAATTTTAACATGATCTGACTTACACATGTTGAAATTTAGGTATGAAAATGCACTTTTATTTTTTAAAATTCATATCATGTTACTCTATGTAAAAGGGTATAAAATAACTTATTATTACTAAAACATTTTTTTTTGGGAATTGGTTCTGTAATTTTAAGGATAACCAATACATACAAACACTATGACTTAACGAGTTATGTCACTCATTATTATAGAGGGACAGTACGTACATTGCAGCTCCTGTTGCGCTTTTTTCAGCGTTGACTATTAAACACATTATCTTTTTAATTTTTTTATCCTGGAAGAAATCTTCCAGAGACAACGCATAAAAAACCAACTTAATATTCTTTCAGCTGTTAACAGTTTCCAAGGATACTCAGTGATGACATAACATCGCGACTACGTTTTAGTAACTGATTTATTCCAGTACGTATGTATATAACGACCTATTTTTCTCTTCAAAGCAAATTTTCTGCCGTAACGCGAAGTACATTGTCCGTGTAATACAACATTCGAAAGCAAATGTTTTTCTCATTATTCACAATATTTACATAATTCCTCGTTGCTTCTATTGCATTCTTTTAAGCGTTAAAATTGTTAAACATAAAAGTATGCTTTACTTTTACATAATCGTTTATTACACGTATGAATGTGGTTTTAATATCTTCAAATATTTTAATTATATTAGTTTCGCATTTCAAAACGTTTTAAAAACATAAAGTATTAAATTATAGCAGCCGTTAGTATAGTTAATAATCGTAACAGCTCAGTATCCGGGACCTCATCTTTAATTACATTTACTCGAGCAATCTGAGTTCGAATCCGCAATGGGGTCCCGTAGTGCGCACTATGCCCTGATACCCTCTTTACAGAGGAGACCTTTGCCCAGCAGTGGGACATTTATATATACATATATTTTTTTATTAATGTAAAACAAAACCAACTTCAAATATCTCGCTCTGTATTAATTTCCCTTCGTATCTCTGGAGGCCAAGATATAATGCCTATAAAATTAATATTTGAAATAAAAAGGAATCATTAAATTCCGTTCACACAGTCAAAAGTTCGGTGGTAAAAAAAAAAAAAAAAAAAAAACATTAAAAATATTCAGTCGAATTGAGAACCTTCTCTGTTTTTGAAATCGGTTGAAAATGTTATTAATGTTAATGATAGGGACTTTTCAATCGACTTCAAAAAAGGTATGAGGAGTTTCTAAATTAGGTTGTATTTTTTTGTGTTTGTTATACTTTAAAACTCCGTCATTTACGAACCAATTTTGAAAATTCTTTCTGGATTGGGTTAGCTCTAGCTCACATTAGATTTCGGAGATACACATTCGGCGAAACAGCATCAACATAATTTGTCTTGACTGATTTCAGAGTTTACTTAGGAGAAGAATTGCATATCAAAGCAGTCTAATCTTCTCTGGTATTCACTTCCGGTTGTTATCTGGCAGACTCAATAATCTGACCAAAATGACCAAATTATATCAATTAACGATTGCGAAAATTTCTTATCTCATTATTGAAGTTTATTTTGATCCATACTTTAGCATACTTCTGTTTTCTCTGCATCACTCATGGACAAATTAGTAAAGATTGTCTCAGACATCTAGTATCTGGGTACCCTAATACAGTAAAGTAAAAGTCTATAAATGTCCCTCTCTTGGGCAATAAGTATGTCCCATCTCTTTGGCGGACTTTACATGCCTCTTCTGTATTACGAAAATGGCAAGTTTCCTCAGTATGACTTCACCGTCCATCAAATTAACACCTCCACTGGCACTTAAAATTTACAATTTTATTGGTGCCGGCACCGGGGACTGAACTCAGGTTGCTCGAGTATATTGAACTAGCTGCTGCCCGCGACTACGTCTGCGTAGAATAGGCTGAAGGTGTAACATTCAGACAGAAGGATGATGAAGATACATAAAATATGTATATAAATTATAGCCTATGTCTTATTCTGATGTATGAGCTAATACTACTGAAACTTTACAATAATATATTGTAAAGTTTCAGTTGTATTTGCGTCAAAGAGTAACAGACATCCATCCATACATACAAACTTTCGCCTTTATAACATTAGTAAGGATTACATGCAAGATTTTTTTTAACTTACATACAAAACGTACGTTTTCAAAACAAATTAACTCGATTGGAATTCCTTCAAATTGTACACGTCCCGTCTGTTCATGACATTCAAACAGGATTTTATAGAGAGGCAAATTTCTACGCACATGTTATTTTTAGCGCACGCGCCGCTATCGAGAGAAAACAGATGAAGTTCCGCTCAAATGGTCTAAAATATTCTTCGCTTTTGTTGCAACAAACTCTTAAATTTTTTTTTGTCTATTATTTCCAAAAATGCGCGAATAAAAATTATAATCAAAGTTACTGATGGGACCTTTTAAAAATATTTAAGTGTTATGAGCGCGATCATTTTTTTATGTCGCCAAAATATTATGAAGTAATGACTTACTAGGCAAAATATGAAACAATGAGTCATAATAAACATATGGTATATTCACAAAGACTGCGTGCTTGCGTTATATTCCACGATTAGTAAATCCAGCATGAGATACTGGCCATAGCGATACTCAGATAATAGATAATGTCTGTCAACAGACTGCGAGATAAGTTTAGTGGGTCGTAAACGATTCAGATCCCTTAATTTGTCGTGATTAAGGATATGACTTGATACATATTTAGTGCATTTTTGCACTGGCGTGTATGTTTTATGACAGATAATCGTGTATTTTAAAGTGTTACACATTAATAAATAATATACTTACATACAATGTGATGTTATAATAAAGATGACACATGTCCATACTACGCGGCGTTTAAAAATAATTATTCCACTTGACGTAATATGACATATAAAATGAACGTGGAGATGATACAGAACGTATCTATGAATCGGAAAGAGACGGTCTATAGAATTGCAATCTAATTACACCAATTGGCGTAATTTGAATGCCTCAGTTCCACAGCGCTAGTGCTCCCTTGTATTTGTATATAATATCATTGCCTACATAGCATTTGGTTTTGATTTCTCTCTGCTATGGCTGATGAGATTAATGTTTGTGTTAAAGACAGCCGTTAGCCCGTTACCCGAAGAAAACAGTTTATGTCATAATAATCAACAATTTTGTTTTAATAAAAGCTTTGGCGGAATCATTAATTGAATATCCACTGAATAGCAAGTTACACAATCAAATTTTAGAAGTTTAATAAGTCCTTTTTAATGTTTTATCCAACCCCTTTGAATCTCGTTTTTTAGTAATATTTATTACACATTAATTTAGGATGGTTTGATCGTATTTTTAGTTAATAACATACTCTCATCTTAAAAAGCTTACATGGTATATGGGGTAGAAAATAGAAAGAGACGAAACGCCTACGGCAAGAATATCGTTATCGACGATTGTATTTGGTCAAATAGAAGAGTGGGATATTCTTATCGTTATAATTATTATATCATTTTATTTTTATATACACAGATAAAAATTACTGACCTTAGGGTGTCCCTGAAAGCATTCTAAACGTTTATTCAGCGGAAACATTGCGATGTGAAGTGTGAACAAAAATGCAAATTTAAAGTAATTATAAATATAACTGTGATTTATTAATTATATAAAAATCATATTTATATAATTTATTTACAGTTTAAGTTATTATTGATAAAAGATGTTTACGTGACTCACACTTCAATATTTTTTTCAATAACTTTTAATAATAATTGCTTGCCACCGTAAGACAAAAGTAAATTTTTGATATCTCACATATATTCCCTAGAGGCGAGGAGAAAAAAACGTTGGCAAACATTAGGATTCCGATGCCAACACTAAAGAGCCAAAGCCATTCCACCAAATGGTTGTTACTTAATCTTCCTTAACTAGCCAGCAAAGATAATAATTAAATTATATGTAAAGGGAATCGCGGTAAAGGATTCAGTGATCATTAATTTATTTAGTAATACGGATAAATCATTTTGAAACCTAAATAAACAAAACTTTTATGTAGTTCAAAATAGCTGAATGACATAGAGCAAACAAGTTGATACAAATTGCACTAAAATGTAAATCACACCTGCTGCCAACGTGATACGTTACATAAATGCTGACGCGGCGGAATTAATGAGCAACTCAGGAATAAATCATTTTTCTCTACCCAACACTGTATATTAGTCACACTGAACCGTATTGTAGGCACTGAAAAGAAAAGTACTGTCACTGAAATTAACAGAATTCCCTAAAAAATATGCAGCTAGTTATATATAATATTATAATGCCATATCTATTTTAACAACATAAAACATAGCCTTATAAATATGAAACAAAAATGTCATGAAATCCAAAACCATGATCACATGTTATTAAAACTTG